GGTCTTGGAAGGCGGGGAATAATGCTCGCTCGGGGGGGCGATAAGGCAGGAGATCTGAGATCAGGGCATCCGTTGGCTAGAGGCTGAGAGCCAGGTGTTGAGTGAGGGATAAATGAGGCTGGGTAGGATGGACTTGGTATAAGATAGCGGGGGTGGAGCATGGTGCCCCCGGGACCCTTGGGAGAAACCACAGACCTGAGCCCCACCTTGGACAAAGCGACAATTTCTTATCTAAATGGATCAACGTCACTGTTTTTCTTCCTGGGTTTGTTGTGAAAATCAAATAAATATGCTCTGATGGCTGTAAAGGACCAGAGTTCCTGTGATTACCCCGCAGATCCGTGGAGGGAAGCTGATGATGTCACATGCACACAAGAGTGATGCAGGGATGTACGTGTGTGTGGCCTCCAACATGGCAGGAGAACGGGAGAGCGGGCCGGCAGAGCTTGTGGTACAGGGTAGGCACGCGGAGGTTTGGAGTTAGGGGAGCATGGAGCCGGGGAAGCACGCAGCCATGCAGACCCCTGGCTGTTCCCTCACTCCCACGCCACAGAGCGCCCCTCGTTCCTGCGGAGACCGGTGAATCAGGTGGTCCTGGCTGACGCCCCTGCACATTTCCCCTGTGAGGTGCAAGGGGATCCCCCCCCTCGGCTACACTGGCGAAAGGAGGATGGAGAACTGCCCACAGGCAGGTGAGGAGAGCCAACCCGCTCGAGTGTGTACCCCGCCCTGGAAAACTGGGAGGCAGAGACCCCCTCACACAGAGAAGTCTGTTCCCCAGAGCCTGTGACCCTGCCCTAGCCAGTCCCCAGCTCCATTCATCGAGCTCCTGTCCCTGTTGAGGCCTGCCTTGTCCCTGGTGTCTGTCCTGGGGGAGACAGAAGTGGTCTGTAGCTATGGCCAACCCAGCCTGGGGGTGGGGAGTGGAGCAGGTATGAGATCCGGAGTGACCACAGCCTTTGGATTGGGCGCGTGAGGCCTGAAGACGAGGGGACGTACACCTGTGTGGCGGAGAACAGCGTGGGCCGAGTGGAAGCGGCCGGCTCCCTCAGCGTTCACGGTGAGGCCCCCCTGGGTTCTGCCCGCAGCAGGGGTGAGGTGAGGGAAATGGGGGGTGGGCCGCGTAGGAAAGGACAGGCAGGAGATGTGGGGTCACCTGAGACTTGGACAGGAGAGAGAAGGAGACAGCGAAACAGACTTGAGCAAGAGATGGATGAGAATCTGCTCCTACCTCAGCCAAGTCTGGCCGTCTATCTCCTGTTCCCTCAGTCTCCCTTCTACGTACCCCTGACTCCCTGTTCCTTTATCTCCCCCCACCCCCTTGCCAGTCCCACCCCAGCTGGTGACCCAGCCCCAGGACCAGATGGCAGCCGCTGGAGAGAGCGTGACGTTTCAGTGCGAGACCAAAGGAAACCCCCCACCTGCCATCTTCTGGCAGAAGGAGGGAAGTCAAGTAGGTGCCCACGCCAGGGGCTCCCCACCAGCTTCCCCTCAGGCCCTCGCCCCCCTCCTTCTACATTCTGCAAACTGCTCTCAGGGTTCCGCTTTACTTTTGGTCCTCCCAGGAGCCCTTGCAGGTTGTTTGTGATTAAATAAGATAATTAATATGAAAGGCCTGACACATAGCTAACACTTTTGAAATAAATGGTAATATATTTAGGTGGCAGGGAACAGTCCTGTGTAGTAATTCCTTGGAATCTTTCTCTTTGGGTCAAGGATGTCCTGAGGATGCAGCAAATTCAATTAGATCCCTCCTTCCCCAGGCCGTCGGGCCTCGGCTTCATACATCGCTCTAGAAAGCAAATAGCTCTGTATCAAAGCTGCGGAGGGTAGAATATGATTTGCTTTTCTAGTTAGAAGAGGCCTCCACTAGGGGGCGCGCAATAGTAGCAAACAGATCCCAGAACATACAACTGGAATGAACATTAACTGAGGTTACAACATAAGTAACTTCCTGTAAGGGAAAGGCGGGAATTTTGCTACTGGAAAACAAGATCAGTATAACAAAATAAGTCTGATGAACTCCACCCGCTGGGAAACCAGGCCACTATGACCTCATTCCAAATCCACGGCCACAATTTCCCCAACATCTGCTCTAGCATCGGAGTCTGCTGTGTTTCCATTAGATTCTGAAATGAATAAAAGTGCTGGTGGCGGTAGAGGGTGGGAGTAGGTATGAGTCAGGGGCTCAGCATGGTGTTATGTGCCCTGAGACCCACACCTACTCCACTACCTTCCGTGTATGTATCCAATGTAAAATGTTAGAGCCAGAAAGAAGGGGAGAGTATGTAACATTTATCACGCAATGTATTAAGAGTGTCATATGATTACTTCATTTAATCTTCATAACTATCCTCTAAGAGTCCTATTTGGGGAAATTTGGGCTCAGGAAGTTCAAATAGCTTGCACAGAGCTGGGGAGTACATCCCCAAAGCATCTAATCACATCGCTCATTTTTTGTGTGAATAGGTTTAACTGGTTCGCCCAAGGTCACATAACTGGCTGGGCACAGAGCATGAATCAGAACCTTGGGGACGCTCTGAATTCTGGTGTCGACGGGAACGGGGAGCTGCCTGCTCAGTCCCTACCGTGGTTCCTTGCTCTGTCCCCAGGTGCTGCTTTTCCCCAGTCAGTCCCTTCAGCCCGCAGGGCGCTTCTCAGTCTCCCCGAGAGGCCAGCTCAACATCACTGACGTGCAGAGTGGGGATGCTGGCTACTATGTGTGCCAGGCGGTCAGTGTGGCTGGCAGCATCCTGGCCAAGGCCCTGTTGAAGGTAAAGGAGGTATGTGCCTATGGAGA